ATTGTCAGGAGAAGAGAAGGGGATTGGGAGATACTACTGGTATCATACTAATAGTGTAGCACAGTGACATTGCAAATATCCTATGATGGGACCAATAAAAGTACTTACCCTGACAAGGAAGTGGCTGTAGAATAGGCCATTGTCCCTTACTTGCAGATTGTACAACCCTTCCTTGTACAGGAATGTAGCAGGTGAGGAATGTATGATCCTGTACTTTCTCACCTTGATGTTGTCCTCAAAGCTAAAAAGAAAAAATAAGTAAGAGTGTTTGGTTTTTTGTTTGACTTTGTCTGTTGATTCACATACCTTTCATTGTTACTGTGCTTATACAGAATCAACATTAGTACAATCATCTGCAACAATTGCAGATGATTTATACCTTTGCCCAACTTATTTGGCTGGTTGTCAATCAGTAGTGACAGCCAGCCTTCCTTGAGCACATAGTAGTGCCCCTTGTTCTTGATGCTGGATGTGTTGTTGCTACAGCCTTACTCTGCTTTAGTATTCACCTAAAATCGTAGGTTAGAAGCATAGATAGGTAAAGAATACAGAGAATAGCTAATACACAGAATCTACATGTATTAAGCATGTACATCTCTCCACAGTGCCCTAGCATCCTCATTAGAGAGTGCTTCTATATAGTCCCTCTTGTTAGCAAAAAACACAAGGACAGTATTGTAAACCTTGAGGTGCAAATCGAGTTCTGTTCTACTAATAATGTAGAATTGTCAGCAATCACCAGAAAACATGCATATAGTCAGGTACTTACACATTTGCCACAACTCCTTCACAGTGTTACTTTTCCACCTCATCATATCCCCTGTCAGTCACTTCCATTCCTACAAACACCTTAAGAGAATAGACAGTCTGACCAACATTCATTACTACAGGAATGTTGACCCAAAGATCAACATTCTGCCTAACAGACTGTAAGAGCTGGATGATTCAGTTGTACGTGTCTCTGTACCTATCAATGTTAAATGTCATAGATGCATGGAATGGTGAATAAAAGGGAAAAAGTACTTACTTTATTTGTTTTGAGTGTCCGGATTTTGTTACCAGACTCTCCTCCACAACTTTACACTGTTTTGCTGGAGGGTTACTGCTTGTTAGCAGAGACACTTCACTCGAGTCTGTACTTGGAGGAGGACCCTGGTTGGGAGACAGTAGTGAGGAGAAGCAGAGTTGTCAAGGCTGAGAACAAACCAGTATAATGATTCACTTAAGATACAGATGGATTGAGACAGGAGAACAAAGGATTAGAGGTCAGCAAGTCATGTGAAGTAGGTAGGAGGAATAGTACTGACCAGGAGGGAGTTAGTATAAGTACAGCACACTTTCTTCTCACCTGATTAGACCACACAAGTGTATTCTTACTGATAGCTCTACCAAGAAACAATAATAATGTTACTTTCCATGTTAGTAATGTAGAGGAAAGACAGAGAAAGGATGGAAAGAAAGACAGAGGACAATGCTACTCACTTTGCATGTGATAAGGCTAATAAAGACTGTCTGTGAGTGTAAGAGCAGATAAGTGTGTGAGGACAAGAGTAGATAATTGCAACTCATACAACAAGGGTAAGTAGAAGTGAGTAGGATGAAGAACAAGTCAGAGGATGAGAAGGAGTTATGCATCAACAATATGAGTTTGAGCTTAGCTGTCAAGGTAGGAGGAAAGCTGTTGGGGGACCTGTTGTAGGGTGAGACATTAGTAGATATACCTAGCCAAAATTGACCAGGAAAGGCAGGTAGATCTATAAGAAGTTAATTTCATATACCTGAAATAAGAAATATGTAATCACATGCCTTACATCTCACTGTGTCTAAGTCCAAATTTCAGTCAGTGAGGGACATCTGTTTTGCTCTTATTCATTGTGTACCCTGCCAAACCTCTACATATCAAATATCAGTAAAGCAAGTAATCAATCAAACTGGACTGTACTGCCCTAGCTCTTCAAGATGTCTTCCTTTGTGTGTAAGGCTTGTAGTAAAGTCTTTAAGAAGAAGAACACACATACAATCTATTGTAATTGTTACAAAAGTGTGAGTAGTGGCTCAAACTCACTCAAACACATTAGAGAGGCAAATAACAAAATGAAAAAGAAAATGCAATTAGGTACATACTATAGTATCCTGATTCTTGGGTGACACTCACCATTTTGTGTAGCTGAGGAGCAAGCTGAGACACAGACATTCAAGGTGGAGGATGATACTACTCCTGCCTTATTTGACAAGCCTCTAGAGCTTCCTGAGGGTACTCAACACAAGAAACAACTACCAAAACAATTTATAAATCTCCTGCCCTCTACTTTGAACTTGGCTGTACTTCCTACTGTGTCTCTTCCACATCTGCTTGAGTTCATACCATCTCAGCTTTGTTCTCCATCTCCTCCAGCCTACTTACTAACTCTAGGAATTGTACAAGAAACAAGAAGAAAGCTCTATGTGTCTGAGCTGAATGAGTACAAGCTGCTTTGAGAGTACCCAGACTTGCCAGACAACACTCCTGACAAAATACTTGACCTAAAAGATTTCTGTGACTTGCCTGATCCTACTAGGGATAATATTTTGACTCAGATGCCCTCACTCCCTAAGGTTATTACTAGCAAATATGCACTGTTCAAGAGTGTAGCAACTTGTCTTCTTACTAGGTAGGCTAATTGTAAAGTGAAAGAAAAAACAAACAAAGAAATTGACATTCTTGTACATAAAGTTCTCTTACATCCAGACTTCAGGCTATCAGACTTGCTGAGCTACAGTGCTAGGCATGAAAATGCTTGAATTAATGACCCACACCACAATAATGATTTCTCAGGGCTGTATTCTCCTGACAACTAGTGTGAAGGATCAATCAAGATCAAGCTACCTCCTAAAGATAATAGGAAGCAATCTGGAGGTGAACTGGATGCTCCAGAGCTTCAAGTGTATAGAGTACACTACCAACCACTTCTTACAACTATCCACAGTACATTAGACAACTGAGACACTCTACTGTTTCATTATACACTGTACAAGGAGCTTTAGAGACTAACAGTACATACAGTATTAGAGCTATAAAGCAATTTCTCTGCTGACTCCTTCTGTCTTTATCAATCCTATATTCCATACATTTCTGAAGCCTAACTCCCCTGCTGAACACATATATAGCAAGCTATATTCTTTGGATTACTGGCTGGACACTCATGAAGAAGTATAAAGGTTTCCTGTACAAGACAGTGCTGAGAACTTTATCCTTCCTATTATCCTCTATTCAGACTTGACTCACCTGGCAAATTTTGGCTCTGTATCTCTTTGGCCATTATACATGTATTTTGGAGAGCAGTCCAAGTACATACACAACAAGACTACTGAGTCAAGCTGCTATCATCTAGTATATATTCTATCAGTGAGTGTATTTTCAGTTTTCTATTCAGTATGGTTTGTAATGCAAAAGTGTCTGAACTGTATTTACAATAATTCAGCTCCCTACATTAGTCCAGGACACATATAACCAGGCCTACAGACGTTCTACCTTGACTGAACTGCTCACTCACTTGAAGCATGAATTATTTCAGGCTGTCCTGTCTCACATCCTCCTACAGCCCGAAATTCTTAAGGTATACAACTCAGGCATCCTATTTGACTACTCTGATGGTAAATTATGTTGGCTCTTCCCAAGATTCTCTATTTACTCAGCTGACTATCCTGAAAGGCAGGTGTCTCTTGTTGTATTCTTGTCTCTATACTCTAGCATCTTCACCTTAGTTTACACAAGGATAACTGAACATTGTTCTAGGATGCTCATTACCACCTTACACGTTTTAGGGGAATTCTTGAGCCCTACAGACATCACACCTACCAAGTACAATTACTTGCTTGGTACTAGTGCTGACCAACAAAGACAAACTCACAAGTGTAAGGACAATACTGTAAGACAAGATAAGATTTCCAGGGCACAGTAGTGGATTTTTGAGTCAGGCAGACCAGTTGAGTCCTTGTGGATTAAAAATCTCCTTAATGACAGGTCCCTCATACCAATTAATGTACATGAACTTTTGCTATCCAGGCAATGTTCTTTATTAGTACATAATATTATTTTGTTAGAACACTTTTTCTGTACTTTGTGAGCACAGATTCAACTTTTTCGACTTGTTTGTCCTGGACCCTATGTACGAATTTGAACTAGGGGTCTGGAAATCAATATTTACTCACCTCTTGTACATTCTTTTTGTGCAGGGAGGGGAGAGTATACTTACACTTAATAGGAGGTAAGCACCTACCCATCCACTCCTCCATCTTTCTACAATTTATTACAAAATGCTACAATCTTATCAATTGTCTTACTGTTGTCTAATGAAATATATTTGTCATTTTATAGGTATCACTGTATTCCTACTTTCAGAATGGATACAATCTAACAATTCTCTGGAAATATGTCTACAATGAAACAATTTGCTGCTAGAGACTTTAAAGATATTCTACAGGCAAGTGCCTTACTCTTGACTATTAATATATATATATGCACTTCAATAGGATGTGTATTATCTAGTACACAATACCAGCCTTCAATGGTTTACTGCTGAAGAAATATGATAAAGTGGTCCTTAATCTTTTATTTGTCTTAGCAACCTAGCATGTGCTTACAAAGCTTTGTATTCATACAGAGACAACAGTCTGGCTTCTTGAGGAGACAACAACATTGCTGGGATACTAGGTACAATGCTTCAAGAAGACAGTATGTACAGCCTACAATACAAACAAACTACTGAAAGAGATTGCTACTCAAGGTCACTGTCAAGCTCGACTGGATAAGGGCAAGGGAAAACAACTGGATGAAAAAAAGGTAAAAGTTGGTGCAAAAAAGAAAACACTCAATATCAATACACTAAAATTTTATACTCTTGGTGGATATGCTTCTGCTATTCATTGATTCAGCACAACTGATTCATACAACACACAAATAGTAAGTATATACTTTACAAGACACTCTCCATACTTATCTCAATTGTGTATCCTTACAGGGAGAGTCTCAGCACAGGAGACTCAAGTGTATGTATGCTAGGACAAACAAGCAAGACACTACAAAGGCAGTATTGCAACTGGAGGGTAGGTCTCACAAGATATGTGAGATTCATTCTTGTATTAGTCTCAATGAAGGATCTAGGGATCCTGTCAAGCTGAAGGACCTTGAGGCCCATTATAACATAGCAATGTTGAAGAAGGACTCGATCCATCTTTATCAGTGGCTTTCAGATAATGATTCCGACCCAGCTTTACAGGTGAGTACATTATCAGTCTCCTCTTTCTATTTCACATATACAAGTACTGATGCATTACACACTTGCTAGAATTTCCTGCCGAGTCTTTGCAAGCACCTGCTTGGACACATTCTCTCAAGACAGGAAGACAAGGCCTTCACCACAGACAAGCTATACAGCCTCTGTATAAAAAATGACAAGCTTTTCTGTCTCAAGGTACTATACATCAATTACACAACCTACAACATTAGGAGAGCCCAAGATTCACTCAATCCACAGACACATGCTAATATCATGTTACTATTGGATAACACCAAACATCCCTACATTTACACTCGAATAATCAGACTTTTTCATACAGAGGTCAGCTATATAGGTCCAGGGGCTGACCCTAACTTCCAAAACTTTAATTGGCTCAATTTTGCTTGGGTTTGCTGGATGAAAGTCATTGAGAATGGCTCATTTGTTGAGAGACGACTCCCTCAATTGCAATTCTATTGTCATACAGATCCTAGTGCCTTTGGATTCATTGATCCAGACCTTATTCTTTGAGGTGCTCATCTAATCCTGCAATTCTCTAAGGGTACTGTCCAGACACTCTTACCTCCATCCCTTACTTGCTGACCCAAAGATAAGAACAAAGATTACAAATTTTACTTTGTAAACGTGTAAGCATGTTGTTAAGGCTTTCAAATTTGGAACATATTAATGCTGAGTCATTTTTGGTCCAATTTACTACAGATTCATTGATAGGGACATGTTCATACACTATCAAGGTGGAGGAATTGGACACAAAAGTATGTAGCATTTAAATAGCTACCTACTACATGACACACTACAAGAATGAAACAACAATGAGATGGATGGTGAAGTATTAGAAGAGGAGGAGGATACTAATAGTAATGATGAGGGTCTTGAAAGTAAAGAACAGAACAATGAGGAAGGCAAATCAGACAGTTATGCAGACCTGTAGTGAATATTAGATGTACCATTTACATGTAAGGTAATTTTGTGGTCATGCACAGTAAATGACAATCTGTTGATCATCTGTATGACTGTTTTTGCTAATTGAATATGGTACTGTGAGTATTCCACTAGGCTGATTCCCTCTGACCATCTTACCAACTTTTGTAGTGAGCAGAAAGAATCTCCTTTTAACAGGTACCATCTATGCCTCCATCTTGGCTCAGTTTACACTAACTGTAGTGTTCTTTGAAGCAATCCATGCCTTCACTACTATCACACAGTTTCTCACAGTTTGTAGAATAGAGAGTGCTACATGTGTTGCTACTGTTTTTACAGATTCTTTCATTACTGTCACTATGATCTATTTACTGCATCATATGTCTGTTGGTAATCTTCAATACACTACTGCTGCCTGATTCAAGCATATACAGAATTTGCAAGGTTGTTTAGAGACTTGGAACAATAAGGATGGCCATTGGGTTGAAGTTTGCAAGCAGTACAGTATAACTCAACAGCTTCATCAAGGTCTTCTGGCTGTTCACACTGCTTGTATCTCTTACTTTGTTATCTTGCTTGCTTCATTGTCTCTTACAGCACTCTCCAGACACACTTTCACTCAGGCTTGGCTCTACAACAAGCAGTAATGACTCTCAATCCCCTGTCAATAATTTGCTCAATGTTGACTTTGATAAACTTGCTGAGTACTATCTACAGCCTCATACAGTACTCTCCAGACACACTTTCACTCGGACTTGGCTCTGTAACGAGCAGTAACAACTCTCAATCCCCTGCTAATAATCTGCTCAACATTGACTTTGATAACATGCTTGCATTCCTTTTGCTTCACAGTTGCACACACATGCTCCCAACAACTTACATTCACAATTACCTTTGGTAAGTCCCTTCCCTCACTTGCATTTGACCTGAAATCTCCAGACTTACTTCTTATCTTACACAGCACTCTCCACACCTGTCCCCCCTCTGTTTTTTGGGCCAATCCAGACATGTACAAAACGAAGGACACAAAACGTGCATCCTGTAAGGCTGGCACTGATAAAATTCTGGGAGTGCTTAGGGAAGCACTCCCAGATTGTTATAGCCATATTAAAATGGCTAAAATCATGTAAGTTCTTATATTTTTTACTTTTTTCTACTACTAACATTATTATTATTATTATTAGGGGTGGTATTCATGAGTCAGGTAATGACAATACCCTACACCTTTTAATAAGGTGTTTTGGGAAGAAGAAATTGGTAGGATCTATACACCTGCCTTTTGTTAATAATGTGAGTTTTTTTTACCTTTGTCTTGTCTTTCTTTACTAATATTATCTTAAGGAATTCAATTTCAAGGGGGCAACTATTGGTTACAAGACAGCTAAAAGATTTCTAATTAAAAAGATCTTGTAATTGTTTTGATTTTGCTTTGTACTTGCTTTTTACATATTATATACTTAGATTATGCTTTTATTGAGATAATAAGAATACAACAAGTGTTCTCATACTATTATATACTTATATTATACTTGTATTAAGATAACAATAGTGCAAAAAGTGTTCTCATAGTATTATATACATTGATATACCTTTTACATAAATTATAAGGTAACAATAGTTATTGTTACATTATTATATTATAAATATAATTCTTTCTTTGAAATTATAATTAAAATGTAATGCAAGCATAATACTTTAGACTATCATACAAAGTTAGTATAATACTTGTAATAGATTGTATTC